TTAAAAAGAGTCTCTGCTACACTTGCTCCTCACCCGCGTCCCTTCCTCAGTCCCGTCACCCGCTGCCCTTGCTGCCCCGAACCTCGCAATGTTGAACAAGATGCAAGTTGCTGCAGGGGAAATGCACCTCGGGTTTTTTACTCTTCTTTAAACCGTTTATTTCGATATACGAGAAGTTAATGTATTTCTGCTAGGAATGATGATGTAAGTTATTGCAGGAGATATATCGGTTTGTGAAGGTTGCCGTTGCAATGCTCCAGAAGGCAAACGCGCGTTCAAAGGGAACGAGCAGCACCATGACCGCCATGGCGATGAACCTAAAGCTCGCCGTCAGGAATGGTCGCTCACGTTTGGGCGGGGAATAAGATTGGTATGACCAGGCAAGTTAGCCAACGGGCTTGGAATGGCATGGCTGGCAAAGGGGCAGTACATGTTGTAGGTACGAGCCCCATTTTTGTGGTGTAAGAGGCGAGCTGTCACGTTGTTCGTACACAAGGCGTGAGAAAGAGAGAGAGAGTTTGAGAGACAGAGAGAGTTTGAGAGAGAGAGAGTTTGAGAGAGAGAGTTTGAGAGAGAGAGTTTGAGAGAGAGGGTTTGAGAGAGAGAGTTTGAGAGAGAGAGTTTGAGAGAGATAGAGAGAGTTTGAGAGAAAGAGAGAGTTTGAGAGATACATAAAACTGAGACGAATTACACTCTCTATGGGTGTGGTTGGTGCGCAGAAGAAAGAAATACACGGGGGCTCGATCGGCCGAGCCAATAGATTTGGCAGGTACGTTGGGCGTGGCGATCCGATTGACCGGCGCAAACCGTCCTTACCACCCATGAGCCCGGTCCAGTGCTTTTCTTCTTTGAAAATAAAAAAATTAAAAAAGAAGAAGAAAAAGGTGTAAACGTGTGTGTTGTGTTGCTTGCATTTTTCTTCCTTTCGGTTGTTTGCCATTGCTTTTGCTTTTGCTTTTGCTTTTGCTTTTGCTTTTGCTTGTGCTTTTGACTTCGTCTTCTTCTTCTTCTTCTTCTTGTTGTTGGTGGTGCCCTTTTTTGGCAGCGGTGTCGGTATCGGTATCGGCATCGGCGGGCTGCTTGACGTGTCTTGCTTTCTGTGTGTGTGCGTGGTGACTGATCGTTTGTGCTTGGTACCGGACTTTCCTGGTCGGGGCCTTGCAGCGACGCCAGAACGTTTTGATTGAAAGCACCGCTGCCATTTTTTTGTTTTTTGCTTTCAGTTGACCTCACTGATCTCACCTCGCAGTCGACAACGTGCGCTGGGCAACCAAGTACACCGGTCCTCGCCACTGTCACCGAGAACTGTTGTCCAAAGGTGAGTCGTTTGGTGCACCAGGCAGAGAAGAGCAAGGAGCCCGCTGACCGGCTGCCGTTTTGGAAACGGCGCGCCTGTCGAATCCCAGTCCGAATTCTGGGTTGTCAGACGAGTTGTATTTGGAGGGGGCTCATGAGATTGGTGGTGGATAGAGAAGCAAGCAAAGCGGTTTGAAGCGGATGGTGAATAGAGAGAGATACCGTGACCATGAGTGATGATGGAAAGCAGCTGTACATGGCGTGTCTTACATTAGATCCACAAAAGGCGCTTCAGCTGTTGACCAGTTGGGACCAACAACGTATACGAGATGCTGCCCAATACAAAGATGATCGGGTACGTATGCTGTTTGGTATGATGTTGTGTGATATTGGTTACACTTTGAATATGTCACTGGAGTGTGTATTGCATGTTTGCATCATCCCACAGCATGGCGATACACCACTGCACTGGGCCTGCCGTAACGGTGATGTCAAGGTGGTGGAGATGCTGTTGCAGCACGGTGCTGATGCTAAAGCCAAGGACAACGTCAGTACAGTACCTCCCTCTTCCCCCCCTTTACCCCCCATATGATGCTGCACCCGTACCCCATGATGATGATGATGATGATGCTGTACCTGTACGCCATGCTGATGCATCATCCCACAGCGTGGCGATACACCACTGCACAAGGCCTGCCGTAACGGTCATGTCAAGGTGGTGGAGATGCTGTTGAAGCACGGTGCTGATGCTAAAGCCAAGAACAACGTCAGTACAGTACCTCCCTCTTTCCCCCTTTACCCCCCTATGACGGTGCACCTGTACCCCATGATGATGCTGATGATGATGATGCTGTACCTGTACGTCATGCTGATGCATCATCCCACAGTATGGCGATACACCACTGCACTGGGCCTGCCGTAACGGTGATGTCAAGGTGGTGGAGATGCTGTTGCAGCACGGTGCTGATGCTAAAGCCAAGGACAACGTCAGTACAGTACCTCCCTCTTTCCCCCCTTTACCCCCCATATGATGCTGCACCCGTACCCCATGATGATGATGATGATGATGCTGTACCTGTACGCCATGCTGATGCATCATCCCACAGCGTGGCGATACACCACTGCACAAGGCCTGCCGTAACGGTCATGTCAAGGTGGTGGAGATGCTGTTGAAGCACGGTGCTGATGCTAAAGCCAAGAACAACGTCAGTACAGTACCTCCCTCTTTCCCCCTTTACCCCCCTATGACGGTGCACCTGTACCCCATGATGATGCTGATGATGATGATGCTGTACCTGTACGTCATGCTGATGCATCATCCCACAGTATGGCGATACACCACTGCACTGGGCCTGCTATAACGGTCGTGTCAAGGTGGCGGAGATGCTGTTGGAGCACGGTGTTGATACTGAAGCCAAGGACAACGTCAGTACAGTACCTCCCTCTTCCCCCCTTTACCCCTCTGGCTGCTGCTCCTGCTCCCGCTGCCCCGTCGCCTTTGCCCCCGTCCCTCCTCTCCGCAACACCCTGCCCACCCGTGCGCGTCCGTTCTCCCCCCCTGGCTCCTTGTCTTCTTTCCCGCTGTCCCTCTTCTTTCCCCGTTTTGCGTCCGCCCTTTGCCGGTGCGCCCCGTGCCCCACTTGTCTCTTCCGCCTGCCGTTTTCGCTCTCCCCTTTTTCTGATCCATCCCCAGCCCCTTGTCATCACGCCTCTGCCTCCCTCGCTCGCTCCAACGGCTTTCGGTGGCCGTGCCTTCACTTTTGCCCCCGGCACACGCGCCGTTTCTTTCTTTCTTTTTTTTTTTCGTTTTTTTTTTTCCTTCTCTCCAAGCGGGCCTCCTTTCGGACCCCTGCTACCTGCCCGCACCATTTGCACACCACTCGCGCGTCTGGCGGCTCCGGCACACTTCAAAGCATTGTCACCTCGCCTTTGTTATGTAAAAGCAAATGCACGTCGCCCAACTCAGCCCTCACGTCGCTGCCCACCTCACACGCTCCAATCACATGTTTTCAGGATGGCAACACGCCCCTCGATTACGGACGTCAACGCGGGCATGGCGACAAGCTGGAGCCCGTGTTTGCTGCTCACGAGGCTCGCCTATCACAACCACCCGCACCACTCGCTCCGCCCACGCCGGCACCGCCTTCCGCCTGGCTACCGCCTCTGCCCACCACCCCCACCCTCGAGGTGAGCCTGCTCCCCCATCTTGTTTTCCCCAATGCATTTACTACCCCAATTCCTACGGCCTCATCCAACCTCATCACGACCAATGGGCACCACACAACCCTCCATTAGACCACGGCCTCTGTTGTGGTGGCGGTGGATACTTGGCTTAGGCCCCTCTTGCCCACGCGCACCACCAGCCATACTCTCCCTCACCTCGATGCATTTATCAGCGGTGCCGCCAAACAAACCCCCAATCTTGCAACGGCAGTTGCGGACATCCAGAGGACCATCGATGAAGCGCCACCAGAGTTTCCTGCCATGGACTGGCCTGCCTTCCAGGCGACCACCACCCAGGCCCTCGGCGCGCTCGACCAGGCACTGGCAGCGCCCGAAGCGTTGAACAACCGCTTGGGTCAATTGGACCCCAACACTGACAACCTAGAAGCAGTGCTGCAAGAGCTGCATGATGTCACTGCTGGTTTTGAGCTGCAGCCGGTGCTTCTCGAGCTTCAGGACGTGCTGGCAGCGTGCCCCGCTCCACCCACCACGCTGACAATGGCACCCGAAACGCCACCCGCCAACCTCAGTGCAGCCCTGGACAAAGTTGCCATGCTACGCGACGTGGGAGCCAAGCGCATAGAACTGTTCACCAACGCCAACAGCAGCCTCCAGCAGCTAGTGCTGAAGCTGATTACTGCCCTGCGTGCTGTGGCAAGAGCGGGAGCCACCGACACGGACCATCGCGTGGACACACTAGAGCAGTGTGCGCAAGGCTTGGATGTGAGTGCACCACCTTCAGCCGAGGCATTGCCCAAGGCCTGGGAGGAGCTGTGCCAAGCCCACGAAAGGCTGAGCTTGCCCGAGCAGAACGGCCTGGAGCAGCTGATAACATGGAGAGTCGAGCACGACTATGAGAATCAAGATTGGTATCTGGCGTTTGCGCTTCACGAGGCGCAAGCCCTGGTGCAGCAGTTGCAAGACATGATCGACTGGCAAGCCACGACGCTGTCCGTGTTGACCTCGTGCATAAGGCACGTGGACAGCTTAAACCAAGACGTCGATGATGAATCGGTTGCTGCCCACGAGGAACTAACCAAGGTGGAGACCGAGATTCAAGGATTTCACACGGCTCTACAACATCTGCCCGAAACTGTTCGGTCTGGTCTCGAGCAGGACCTCAAAAAGCTAGAAAAGCGACGCGACACCTTGCGACAACAATTATCAAATCAGTCTCACGTGGACCACGTCGCCGAGCTTGCTCAGCTGCTGCACCAACACTTTCCAGCGCTGCTGGTCTTTTTGCACCCTGAACAAAGCAGGCTGGGAGCGCGCCTCCGCACAGTGCTTGGGCCCGACCTTCCAGCCAGCCTGATCTTGGAGGCCATGACCGAAGTGGATCGCACATTGTCGCTCTCCAGCCTGGGCCAGCTTGATCTTCATTACAACCAAAACCACAAGGTGTACAAGGCCCGTGCCGCGCTGAAAGATTCTGGGGAACAAGATTTGGCCGTCAAGGAGTATGCATTTGCTCGCCAACATAAGCAGGATCAGTGCCGTACATTCTTGCGCGAGCTTCGCGCCATGCGCCAGCTTAAGCACCCACACATCATCCCGGTCCTCGGCGCGCTCGTGGACGTACACAGTGGCCACCCGAGCGCCTATTTGGTGCAGCCATGGTGTGCACAGGGGGATCTGCAGCAGTGGCTCAGCAAGGCACGCCACATGGCCACCTCGACCGTGATTTCGAATCTGATGAATCAGCTGCGCACGGCGCTGGCGTTTATGCATAGCAAGGGCTTGGTGCATCGGGATGTCAAGCTGAGCAACATCATGTTGGACGGTGCAGAGGACCAACCTGTTGTGCGGCTGGGCGATTTTGACATTGCCAAGGCCGCCGCTGAAGCCACCATGCTACCATCTACGGCCACCGCATCGTCGGGCACGGCGGGCTATGTGGCACCCGAAGTGCTTTTTGGCCGGGGCCGAGTGGGGGCGCGTCCAGCACAGGATGCCTTTTCCTTTGGCTGTGTGCTATACAACACCTACATGTTCCCACAAACGGTGCCGCCGGCTCAGTCGCGAACCGATGAGGTTGTGGGTCATTGCAGATGGAATTTCCAAGCGGGAGATGGTGCCTTTAGCTTTCCTCATCTGGCGGCCGAGGTCAGTCAATTATTATTTTTTTCTCTATGATTTTAAGACGCTCTGGTTGTCGTCGTCGTCGTCGTTGTCGTTGTAGTTGCTCATACCTGTGTTTCTGTGCAGATGTGCGACATAGTGGGCGATCTGTACAAGGAAACGCAAGCCTTGCTGGCAGCAGATCCAAAGCAACGGCCAAGCCTTTTCAGCGCCGGGCAATTCGCAGAACGACCTGTCACGACCCAAGTTGTTGGGCCAGCCATTGATGTCTTGCGCGATGCGCCCGAGCTCATTTCAGAGGTGCGTTGCTTGTGATTTTTTTTCTCTCTTCCACGAATCGTCTGATTTGAACCTACTGGGTGGCTAGGTGGGTGAGCTACTGAAGCAGCTGAACACCGATGGGCGGGGACCAGCGAATATCACAGTGCAACGAGTGGAGCGCGTGCACAACCCCGTGCTGTGGGAGCGCTACAGCGCCAAGCGACGAGAGATGTTGCATCGTATCGAAAATGAAGAGCACTATGATCAACTCCAAACGTCCACATTAGATGCACCCTCGGGCTCTCCAGCTCTGCTTCGCGATGCATCCTGTCAAGAGCGCCTGTTGCTCCACGGCATCGCCCCTGACACAATGTTGCGCGACAAGATTGTGCGCCTGGGCCTTGACTATCGCTTTGCGGGTAAAAATGTCGGCCACCGATTCGGTCTCGGTGTTTACTTGACGGACCATCCCGGCAAGGTAGGGCAGCGCTGCGCTGGCTGTCAATCTCGCCTGTTTACCCAAGTGCTGTGGTGCTGACGCAATGTGCTTACATGATCTCAGAGTCACCGGTACACCAATACTGGACCCAACGGCGAACGGATGCTCATCATCACGCGAGCCCTGTTGGGTCATGCCTTTGTCCATCCATCACCTCCTTCTGGGGCGCTGGCGCCACCGCTCCTGCCCGCTGCGCCCAACAACGAGCGGTGCGTCGGGCAAAATCGCCTGCCTATTGCATGTTGCCTTCAGCAGGGTACCTCTGTCCACCACCTGATCTGACTGGTTGCATTTGCCATTGAATTCTCTTTAGGTATGACTCGGTCGTCGCGACACCCTCTGGGGAATTCCACGAGGTGGTGGTGTTTAAGAATGCCCAAATGTATCCCGAGCTGGTTGTATACTACACGGCCAATTAGGATGAGCTGGACTAGTCGGTGGTCGTTCGCGTCCAATCCGCCGCTTTCCCACGCATATGGACACCCCGTTGCTTTTGCACACAATCAGCGTCATCTACCATGGGTCTTCCCACAGGAGCCCCTATGGAGCTGGTGCGACTTCATTTCCTGACTAACATACGCACCTTCACGAACTGAGGCGTGCCCTTCCTCTAGGAGGCACATGCGTCGACCCGTGTGCTTCGTGTACTTTGCAATGTCTTGGCAGACAGTCTTGTCTGATATTCTTGTTGTTCACCGTTGTTCGTTGTTGTTTGTTTGTTTGTTGTGACACCTCTTGGTCTGGTCACTGTGAATGCTTGCCGACCGCAGCTGGTTCAATTGACCTCGAGACACCACCAAATCTCTTGTTTCGTCCCGATGGACGTCTCTCAAACCTCTTTTAAAACGCCTCCTCAACACGACCCGCTTCCTCGCAAACCCAAACTGGCCTTTCACATGCTGTGGAGCCTGACAGCTGGCTGTCCCTGAATGAACGGCATACCTTTCCATCCATGGACCAGGAAATCAGCATGCTGATATTCATGTATTTGCTGCTGGGCAAGCTTCTGGAGCACAGGCTGAGTAGCTGGCTGGAGAAGCGAGGCAGGCTGGCCACGTCCGACGACTATGCTGCATTTCGTCGACAAACGACCACGTACCTGTATCGGCCAACGCTTCAGGTACGCCACGACCTTCTGGATGAGTAATTCATCGACTCTTGGCCGAGACGACCAGCGCTCTTGGCAGCCTAATCCACACTCAAGCTTGGCACTCTGGAGACACGGCCGAGCAAATGACCATGTGCAAAGCAAGATGTTGTCTCGACTGATGCACCCAGTGGTGGCTTGCTTTGTTTGGACTAGATGGCAAAGTGCAGTATGGCCGAGTTGACAGCAACCCGAGAAGCATTGGGAGTTTGCGAAATTCCAACAGTTGGAACCCAGTGACTGACCTCTCGCCCGAGGCAAATCTTATTGTTGTTGTTGTTGTTGACATGTGGCGTTTGTGTGCAGATGTGCGACGCGACGAGCGGTTTGTACAAGGAAACATGGGCCTGCTTGCAACAAATCTCAAGCAGCGCCCAACTCTCTTCAGCGCCGGCTAGAGTGTGCAACGCCCACGTTGTTGGGCCAGCCATTGACGTTTTACGCGACGCACCCGAGCTCGTGTCAGAGGTGCGTTGCTTGCTGATATCGTCATAATAATACTGTTCTTTTGATCTTGACAAGCCGTGTGGTTTGAATTTATTGTGTGACTAGGTGGCTGAACTGCTGCAGCAGCTGAGTGCTGACGGGCTAGGACCAGGTAACGCTGCAGGGCAGCGGGTGGCACGTGTGCAAAACCCCCGTGCTGTGGGAACGGTACAGCAGCAAGCGACGGAAGATGCTGCACCGCCTCACAAGTTAGGGGCACTATAATCGACTTGTAACCACCACCTCGGATGTGCTCTCGGGCTGTCCAGCTTTGCTTCGTGATACACCCTGTCAAGAGCGCCGGCTGCTTCATGTCCGAGCAATCGCTGCGCGATAAGATTGTGCGCTTGGGCCGCGCTTTGCTGGTAGCCGCGCGAGCCACCGGTTTTGATTTCGGTGTTTACTTGTTCGATCATTTTTGGCAAGGTGGGGTTAGAAACTGCGACTGGTTTGATCGAAATGGGCTGCTGGTCTGATGCCAGATGCGCTTTTGTGTATGACTTTAGAGAGTCATCGGTACACCAACGGTTGACTCGACGGCAAGCGCATGCTCACTGTCACGCAAGTTCTGTTGGGTCATGCCTAGGTCCATGAAGCACCACCTTGTGGAGCACTGGCCCCACTGCTCTCGCCAGGCGCAAACAGACAATGAGTGGTGCGCCGGACAGACACGTTGCATGTTGGTTCTGAGCCGCGAGTACCTCTGGTTGACTTTGGACCTGACACGACGATTGCCTGTGACCTTTTCTACAGACATGACTCGGTTATCGCTACACCGCGTGGCGAATTTCACCAGGTGGCCATCTACGACCATACACACATCTATCCCGAGCTGGTGGTGGTCTATACACGATCGAATGATGCCAAACTCGAGGCAGTGTGAACATTGGGTTTTGGTGTTGAGAGATCCTTTCCTCTCTGCTCGCATGATTCGCTTTTGAGCATTTGAACGCGACCGTGGACTGACTGGAGTGATGCGTGAATAATATCGTTCTTGGATGCGCATCATCTCGGCTTCTTCCCGTGCCACAGCCACAAAGTCCGCGGCGCGTTGTGCTCGCTTTACTCTGAGATCACAGAGGCCGAACTGTGCCTCACGATTCATTTCGGCGCCCGGCTTGTGTGGGCGATCATCACATCGCAACCCCTGCACTCTCTGGATCGCGCTTGGCAACTCTGCGACGTAGGCAGGTGAAGGAAGCGTCTGCCTGCCAGTCAAAATACGTCTTTATGCTTGCCAACTGCCAAACCTTCAGACATCGCACTGGCATTGAGGATGCTTCGAAGACCGCTCCATTCACGGCTTTCGGCGCTTAGCACACTGTGCTTTTCTCTTTAACATTGTAAAGAAAAAAAAACAAAAATCAAAATCAAAATCGACTTGGTTTCAAGGCGACAGGTACGAGCTCAAGTTCAGAGAAGAAGAGAGGAGACGACTGGAACATCCACAGACATCATATCAACATGTTTACGCGAAACACGTCCAAGGGACAACAAGCTTGGACTGCGGATATGGCGGGTTACTTAGCAAAGAGACACACCCGTAGCACAAGCGGCACCGCTTGCCACGCGGTAGAGCTGGCCCGAAGCACAAGCGCAGAGCTGAAAGGCGGCTGCCCCTGCATCAGCCGCCAGCACCGGAAGGTTATCCATAACTATTGCGTTCCCCGAGAGGGAGAGCTCGTTGGCAGCCGTCAACGAAATGCTGTCAAAGGCTGACACAGTCACGCTGGCCGTTTGACTGTTGACGGTGACAACGTCTCACATTGATGCCAACGCCCGCGAGTTGCGCCGCACGGTCTGTGTGTGTGTGTGTGTGTGTGTGTGTGTGTGTGTGTGTGTGTGTGTGTGTGTGTGTGTGTGTGTGTGTGTGTGTGTGCAAACTCCCTGAGACACACGCAGGCACATAAATTCACCTCTTCTACTGCGCTCTGCCCATCTCTCCCCTAAGTAAGAGAGAGATTAGAGAGAGAGAGAGATTTAGAGAGAGAGAGAGATTTAGACAGAGAGATTTAGAGATTGAGAGAGAGAGAGAGATTTAGAGATTAGGTTTGAGAAGAGAGAAATAAAGAGCAATTAGAGATTTAGAGAGAGAGATTTAGAGATTTAGAGATTTAGAGAGAGAGAGATTGGATTGAGAGAGAGAGAGAGAGAGAGATTTAGAGAGAGAGAGAGAGAGAGAGAGAGATTTAGAGAGAGAGAGATTTAGAGAGATTTAGAGAGAGACTTAGAGAGAGGGAGATTGACACCTGGGCTGCTTACTGTGAATGCTTGCCGACCGCAGGAACGTCAAGCCCCCTGCCATTCTGTCTTCCCTGTGCTCCCCGGTGTGCTCTGCCCTCCTGTGACTCTCCCTCTCCACGGGATTGAGCAGCTCTACAGCTATTCTAACGGTCTGCCCACTGTGAATGCTTGCCGACTACAACTGGTTCAATTGACCTCAAGACACCATCAAATCTTTCGCTCCGTCCCGCCCGGACGTCCCTCAAACCTCTCTCTTCCTCGCAACTCAATCCCGGCCTTCAGACGTCCTGGAGCTTGGCATGGTAGAAAGAGAGGGAGAGAGAGAGAGTTTTAGAGAGAGAGAGAGAGAGAGAGAGAGATTTAGAGAGAGAGATTTAGAGAGAGAGAGAGAGAGAGAGAGATTGAATTGGTTTGGTCGGTTTGAGAGAGAGAGATAAAGAGCAAAGACACAAAAACACAAGAGAGAGAGAGAGAGAGAGAAACTTGAAGAGGGAGAGATATTATGCTCGGGATCGAGAGAGGTGAGAGAGAGAGAGAGAGATTTTGAGGGAGAGAGGGTTGAATCGGTAAAGTCTGTGGCAGATGTTTGTCTCTCTGGATACATCCCTTTTCGCCTCTCTCTCCCTGTTCTTGCCTTTGTTTTCCCGTGTACTCACATCCCCTGCCTGTTCATATCTCTAAACATATCTCACTTTTACCCTCTCCCTCTCCCTCTTCCCTTCGTCTCATTTTGTCTGACAAAAAGACGGTGAGTTGGCCCAGCAAATCATCAACAGAAAAAACAACAACCACGCACACCTCTCTGGCCAAACGTCCACGCCACCACCCCATCTCTGGATATACGTTATACTTTCCGTTGGCTAAAACTGTCAGATTGATAGTGTCTCTGCATGAGAACGCACACCACATCTCTCTCTCTCTCTCTCTCTCGTATTTTACGGCAGCTCACGTCGTCGTCCTCTTCATCGTCTCGACGGGGCCGTGTGCGCGCGCAGCCGTTGCTTGGTACGTACCACTGGCTTCATGGCTTGATGAACCGCCTCAGCCTTCCGTTTATACATGTGTGTGTGTGGGTGGGTGGAGGGGAAGGGGGAGAAGCGTGCTTGCTTGCTGCGTTCGTTGGCTCACGAGGGGTTGATCCCTTTTTTTCAGTGGCAGAGCTGCGGACGCACATTCTATAGCCCTGTCGCTTCACCTGGCTGCTACTGCTACTGCTACTGCTGCTGCTGCTGCTGCTGATGTGGTTGCTGCTGCTGGTGTCGTTGCTGCTGATGCCCATGGGTATGTTGATCGGGGAATGACCTTGGACTGATTGATAGCCCCGGCCCCCCCATTTGATGTGCTTGATGGTAGTCCTGCTTTTTATTTTGCATGCACCTGTTCCGCCACCTCGATTCTCTTCCTCGACCTCCCCCCGCCCCTTCCCCCCTCTTCTCCTACTCTATCCATCTTTCTTCACCCCCCTTCCTCCTTCCCCTCCTCCCTCCTCCCCCTCCTCCCTCCTCCCCCTCGCCCCCCTTCTTCTTTTTCTTCTCCTTTTCCTCATCCCGCTCTGCGCTCTTCAGCTGAGGAGACCCCGCACCCAACGTTTCAACGTCTCACGTGTGCGCTCAAACTGCACGGGCATCATGTCAACCGAGGGACTGCTGGCCACGTCTGAAACGGATGAGGATGGCGCCCATTTGGCCGAAGCTCTGCCACCAGCCGCTGATGAGAGCGTGGCAGAGCCACACCAGGACCAGGCCCCGCTCCTTCCGCCAAGTGGGGATGGTTCCAACCTAGGCGCTTCCGCGGACAGCGCCGATGGGCAAGCTTCGGGTATGCTGCCCGGCATGGACACACTCAGCGAGTTTTTCGGCGATCAGCGCCACGCCGTGGATCTCGAGCAGCAACGCCTTGCCCAACTTGAACGCACCAATCCCTTGGCTGCCGCCGACGCCTACCGCGACCACGCCGTCATCCTCCTCTTGGAGGGCCGATACTATCTCAAATACCAACACCACCCCGTCAGCGTTGCTCACCAGCGCTCCTTTGCCCTCATCCACATGTCCCGGTCCAACCTGTTCAAGTGGTTTGAGCTGATTGCCGCCACGCTACTCCTGCTCCTTCTGGCCAATGCTCCGTCACAATGGACAGGTCGCCGCTTCACTTCAGCCCACGAACCGTGCGGCAAAGATTTGGCGCCTCTCTACGTGCTCCTCGTGTGATGTCCTTGTTGTTGTTGCTGCTGCTGCTGTGTAGCAGCCGCGTTCAGGCGAACCTCTTTCTCGTCACCCCACCCGAAGACCATGGTACGCACCCGCTTGAGACCTGTTCTGGTGACGCGACCACTGCACAAAAATACTTTGTCCCTTCGTGTGCCTCATGCTTTTTTTTTTTTTTTTTTTCCTCGAGCCGTCTTGCCGCGTCTCTACACTTGGTGGCTGACCTCGATCTGTTCTTCCCGTGATGCCAACAGGCATCAATACTGTTGAGGGCACCTTATCTTGGGCACTCGCACAGGCAGAAAACTCTGCCCAGCCACCCACCATTAGCTTTGCCGTGGACAGCGTCACCGTCTTTCAGGGCCTTGCCAACCTGACTCGCGCCAACATCACCCTCTCTGGCCAATGAGCCAATGGAGCATGCACCACACTCTGATGGCCTGACCCCCTGTCCCCGGTCACCACCACCGCAGCCCTTTCCGTTTATGGAAATGGCACCACCATCGATTGCTTGATTATGGAGTTGGAACAAGGTGGCGAGCGGTCTCTTCTTTTCTGCTAGCCACAATACCCTGTCTCGCATCGTTGCCACCAGAAGCAGCTACATCGGCATCCGGGTCAGGGGCTGGCACAACTTGATGTCCCAAAATGAAGCTCACCATTGTTCCTGGCATGGCTTTTCACTCGGCGGAGGGGCCTCAAACATCGAAGGAATTTCCGCTTAGGGTAATGACATCGTTGGCGTTTCCATCTTGCTCCAGCAGAGCGAGCTTCGCAATGGGCTACTTCTCGCCAATGGCCATCGTTCGCGGCAACGACTTACTTGTTGAAAACTTTACCACAAGTCTCCACGCAACCTATGCCAGCATTTATGCGACGCAAGCTACCAACGTCGTGCTGCGCAATATCGTGACGTCCACCAATTTTGGCGGGGGTATCATGACGGCTGCCAGCCACGTACTCATGGACCAAATCACTTGCTATCGGATGGAACAACCGAACCACGTGTACGTTAATGCCTACTTTTGCATCTTCGTTCAGGAGGAAGCGGTCAATGCAACACTCCGGGAGAGCGTCCTTTTTGGCCTCTCCACCGTTCTTCTGATTCAAGGCACAGACACGCTGTTGGAGAACTTGAACATCAATTGGGCCCTCAACTCGGATGGTCTCCCCTTTGCTCTTGGATTCAATACATGCAACATCATGCCGGGCCCATCGACCAACAATACAATGATGCGCAACGTCAAGTCCTTGGCGCAATTGGGAGGGTATGGCCTCAACATTTCTGGAACCGACACCCTGGTAGAGGATTCCGTCTTTGGCCATTTCTCTGATAATGTCGGGCTTAACATGGCGCTTGCCGTCTACATTCACCATATCAGCAGGAACACCCTCCTCCAGGGCTCTGACCGGTTTGCTTTAAGGCTTCAAGCCACCGTTGGCCTCGAGACCTTTGGGCAAAACGTCACGGTGCGCAATGCCACCTTCAACAACAACATGTACGAGTCAACGACCATGATCCGCGTGCGCGGAGGCTCTTGTCAGCTTGCCAACGTCCTCCTTGTCAATTACCTGCCCTTGGGTACTGCATTGGTGGTGGTTGAACCGCGGGGCCAAGTCGTTTTTCATGACAGATAGCGCAATACATGGCTCCTGCGATCAGGGTGAGCCCCTGGGGCGAGACATTGTGGTCGAGCCTCATCAATATGGAGCTGCTGCCCGCGTTTTTTCCAGACTGGATTGTGATGCCATCAAAAATGAATCCATCGCCCTCTTGGGTGCTGCAACTTTGAGCCACATACGCCTGGGCCAAGCCACACAGTGCACCAGATTCAACGGTGGGGGCATGGTCCTCGTCGGCGCTAACGATAACGCCCGTCTTGCTGAGACCACGATCCAAGATCTTATTTTGTGGGTCTCTGCTGCACGACTTGAGATTCGAAACGCCAATCGCCTCGAAGTGTAACAGGCTGCTCACCGACCAATCCCAGAAGCGTCTATCAAAATATGCCTATGTCTGCAACTGCCGTGTCCTTGCGGAACGTGACCAACAGCAGTGCAACAGGCCTCATCATACCTGTGACTCTGGGTGCGGCTGCCGGGCTGAAGGTTGAGATGAGTCACAACATTAAGATCGAGAACCCGCACATTGTTCTGTCAACCACATGGACCGACAAAGCTGTAACCGTTGCGCCTTACCAGAGTGGCTTGGTATTGGACTACAAGCATAGACGTATGTCCAGAAGCTGCTGGAACACACTGGAAGATTCCAGTCCTGACTATCGTGATCAACGACTGCAGGATGATGTCTGGTGATCCTTGACGGCGCTCGCCAAGGAAGCCTGTAGAACATTGTGATTGTTCCTGCCACCGAGATATACGTACGGTCCCGTAGACCGGAAGTGGCATTTTTACTTTGTACCTTTCCTGTTTCTATTTCCTCTGTTTGCTTTGTGAATTGACCACAAACGGATCACATCCTAGAACTTGACCATTCTGAACAGCGAAAGGATCTTGGTCAAAGCTCCCACCATTCTCTTTGCCCTGCCTCACACGTCTGTCGTTTTGATCGACGAGAGAAGTCGATACGTTCTTCTCGTGGGTAGTGTCATTTACTCT